CCAGTTTGTTTAGGTTAGATTTATGTTTAAAGGTGAAACTAACTGTTTGGCATTTAGAGGGGTTTAAGGTGAGACCGTTTTCCTTGAACCATTGGCTGATTTCAAGTAAAAGAATCCATTAAGTTTGGAGCATTCACTTTGATATTTGACAGGCAAAGATACAGTCAGGTCGTCAGCATATTTGACAAAATTAATGTGATTTGAAGATGGTAAGTCATGTAGATTTCTTCATAGAAAAATTAAATTGATTGTGCTAAGGTGCATTGTTCAAAAGGGGTAAAAGACTCAAAATATCTATGGAGTATATTTTAAAGCTGAAAGTTTCAGAGGGAAGACTTAATGAACAGGGCTTACGCATCCAGTTACTGGACTGGATACACTGTCTTTGTATAAGCAGTTAAAGTTTTTCCTGGTGTATAATACAACAGCTTCTGCTGTGGACAAAACTTGTGGCTGGAAATCCTTCAAACAACTTGGCCTTGCCTTATACAATCAGTATGAGCGGACTTTCTATTGATTCAGAGTGATATGCAGGAACAAGATGCTCAGGAATAGAACAATTGGTTCGTCTAATTTCGACAGTCAAATATATTGGGAGATGTTTCTATGCACGTGAGGCTTATTTACTTAGCCCCATAGCAACAAGTGAATCGATATATTCATATGGATGTTACCAACGGTGGGATAATTTTTCTGGATTCCCCATCTTACATTACACATGTTTATTGGAAAATGCTGGTGGATAACCATTTTGAATTGTATTGTGGGAAGACTGTAGTTGCCTATTTATTGTGTTAATCGTGCACAGACGACAGGTTCTTGTGAGAATAAGTTTGATGAGGTTTTGCTTTCACCTGAGTGGAAAAAATCTATGGAAGTTCTTCAGCAGGACATCACAAACAGGAATAAATTATCCAGTCTTCTTTCTCTGAATCTTTTTAAACAAGGTAATAAGAAAGAACTGTTACACGTGGAAGTAAATTTGTGATTCAGTTTTATACTACTAGCTGTTATTTAAGTAAATACACATTTTAATGCAAATAAAACTTCTCGTATGTAATTACTAGGGCCAAGGCCACCTGCCAATTGCCTCCAGCTACCTAATATCATCGAATTACTATCTCTACAGACTTACAGTTGTTATCAAAAACTAGGTACCGCCTGGATAAAAGTGTTCTGTAACCCTACTTTATATTTTATACACGTTTGGTTGATTGGTTACACTGTGCGTCGGTGGCACAGTGGTTAGGACTCTCGCCGACCATGCACATCGTCCGAGGTTCGATCCCCTGCCGACGCACACCTGATATCTATGGTCGGCCTGCGAAATTTGGGCTACCGATATCCATGCTGAAAATTCCATACTTGTACCAAAAATGCAGAATGGAATCGAGCTGTAAATAAATAAAAAAATTTCATCATGAGCTGACATTAGTTAGAGAACCACTGGAAAACCTTGGAGTGCTGGACAGCTCGTCCTAGTTTGGGACTCTTCAGCAGTGCGTACCAACGGTGGTTCGAACTCAGGACCTTCCGGTCACAGGGTCGGGTGTTAGGACAAATACTCGCCGAAGACAGTGGCTAAGGGTCGCGCTCTATCGTGAATTGGAATTCATGAGCTGTTGGATCGGGACCCAGTGGCTTAATGTTCTACAAGCTCGCCTTGTAACCAGAATGTCCTGGGTTTGAACCTCCTGTGAGGGTGCGTACTGATGAAGAGTCCCAAACTAGAACGAAAAAGCTGTTCAGTACTCCCAGGTTTCTCCAGTGGTTCTCTAACCGATGTCAGCTCAAGATGAAATCCTGTAACCAATCAAATCCTTACAAACCAACACTTAAATACTAAATTAGTTTGTCAGCAGAATTGAGTAGATATTCTAAGACATAAATATTATGTAATGACGACTACTGAATTAATTTCAAATATCCTGAGTAATACTCATACATGAAGTCTCTTAAGACATAGCCATTGGGAAAAATGCCCGACTCTTCTCACTTAATCACTGTAATAAATGTATACCTGAGGAATGCGTTTCGGAGGGGAAAGGTTCCTATTTGCTGACGGTCTTTTGTTTTGATCAGGCTCTACAATTATAACTGTTAAAATTATTTCAGAAAGTGTATTGTGGAACAGATATAAGGGGGGATGAAATAACAGTCACTTAGTTATTTATTATCATTTAGAATATACATGATAAATAAGAACATGAGACAAAATGAGATGAAAAATTCGATTATTCTGACATGATTATTTCTTTGGGTTCCTAGTGGAAGATAAGGCTTCAACAACACATCTCCATTTTTTCTCTTCCTTGACGTTCTCTTCATCCGTGTTTACGTTTGCTCATAATCTCTCATCTCCTCCTCTCCATACGATTTCCTCCATGTCACCCTCACACCGACGACCCACTTATCGCTTCCCATTCAGGTTCTTATTGAGTGATCGACTACATTGTGCGCGATGTCATTCAATGGTCTCCTCAATGTATGCCCGACCAATCTCCACTTTCTCCTACATATTTTTTGAGCCATCGGTTCTTGGTTGGTTTGTTCCAAGCCGGAGTTTCTTTTCACTAACTCAATGATGTCTATATGTATATGTATGTATATATAGTCAACGAAAGTACAGGTTTTGAGGGTGAATGTTATCAGTAGTGTCTGACAGAATATGAATACTACAGAAAGATAAAGCAACAAATGGGATAGACTTGACTTAAGCTCAAGGGTGACAAATAACCATTAATATGATGATGAAAGAATAACGACGATGTGGTATAAACTTGAAAGCACTATTGGTGGACAATTACCAAATAATTAATGAGCTTAGTGAAGTGGAATAAACAGGATTGTGTAAATATGACAACAAGATAGAAAAGTATTACATAAACCTAAGGAAATAGAAATGATTAGAAATATTATGACATTGTAAAAGGTCCGAAATGAACGTCTGTCATTGAAACAAAAGGAAAAGAAAAAGAAGGAAAAACAAAGGTGATGGGAATTTTAAGTGCCACTGTCTATGAAGGATTTGTTGACCTTATTGTAGGCCGACGTAAACATAGCAGTTGAACCTACTTCTTCTATATACAAAGACCCAGTTTTCTGGGATTGGTTACTACCGCTCCAGTCACTAATAGAAGATTTAGTCAAGCTCCACAAGACAGATAACCAAGAACACGATACGTAATCGACAACTACCCTCGTTTTATTGAGTGTCCATTATCTACCAGGTGAAGTAAGACGACACTATTTCCACTTTTGGTTCCCCTTTTAATCAACCATACAGACACAGGTACCATAATTGTACAGCCTGAAGAATTTATTCAAAACAATTGTTCTCTCTAATTATTTCTGCCTTTCATTTTGTTATATTTACAATGGTATGAAAACTTCGCCACAATAGATCTAACAGTGACAACAATAATGATGTCATCTATTTTTGCTAGTTAAGTGACTAAGTCAATGTGAGAGATGTAATTTTTGAATTTTTCATATGGACATAGATAAGAGAGAGAGATGATGAAGACAGCCAATCGACAACAACAACAAGCACCAATCACAATCAAAAGGAGAAATCTGAAGGAAGTCACCTTTTCCACTTATCTAGAAAGAGTCGTTTCAAGTACAGGTAGTAGAGATGATCATGTCAAAACCAAACAGGATGGGAAAAGCAGGAAAAACCTTCACTGATCACAAATAAGTCCTCTAATCGGCAAAGTTAAACTTTCGACACCACTAACAACCAATCAGCAAACGACCTTGAACGGACCAGTCACATTAAAGAGGCATCGTTCGTGAATGTCATTAGATAATTCGCTGATTGGTAGTTAGTGGTGTCGAAAGTTTAACTTCGCCCTCTAATCTACTCTACTGAGCATAAAGAACCCGATTCAGATTTTCAGCACAAATATCAAGTTATAGGTTTCCAGACCGTCGGTGTTATGAATTTCATGGAATAATTTGAGCACCGAGTCAGATTGATTCATTATAAATTATTTAAATTTATCCCAGTGTGTTAAGAAAATCAAAACAAGATTTTTCTGAACGTTTCGCCGTGTAAGCCACAGCTTCTTCAGCAGATTTATTCGGATTATAATTATTCATCATAAATAATCATCGTGGAATGTGACTATGTCTGCAGTTGTGATGATGCTTGTGTTGACGGTGCTTATGATCGTTACCATGGGAATGTGAGAAATTAAGATTTTGATGATTAATTATCATCCGAATAAATCTGCTGAAGAAGCTGTGGCTTACACGGCGAAATGTTCAGAAAAATCTTGTTTTGATTTTCTTAACACACTGGGATTAATTTAAATAATTTATAATGAAATATCAAGTTAGTTCATACGGTCCAGAGACTTGTGACTCGTATCACTAAAGGCATTTCCACAGTCTACTTCAGTGCGTCGGTGGCACAGTGGTTAGGACTCTCGCCGACCATGCACATCGTCCGGGGTTCGAGCCCACGCCGGCGCACATCTGATATCTATGGTCGGCCTGCAAAATTTGGGCTACCGATATCCATGCTGAAAATTCCATACTTGTACCAAAAATACGGTGTGGAATCAAGCTGTAAATCAAAAAAAAAAAATATTCATCGAAATCTGCCTTCCCTGGCTCCTAAGTGAAGATCAGATGGCAAGCCAAAGAGAATTAGCCGTAAGGAGCTGTGTCAACAAATCAACTGACAATCTATCACTGAACGCTTATGTAGAAGGAAATGGAGATAGATACATTATGTTCCGAGAAGATCGCTGGGTGACGTCGCAAGTCAGACAGGGTCCGCCAGTGACATGGACGATATCATGTGAAGAGGAAATTAAAGCTCCCGGGGAATCCTACAACCAGCCAAAAAACAACTGTTGAAACCCTATGTTCCATTCGGAACTCAAAAGGAAAATAGTAGCATTATGTAATGATAGAATTTTTTTTAAATGCATCTGTTTGTGTACGTGTACACAGGTGTATTATGTCATGTACTTCATAAAATCCTTTTCATATCTATGAAGTAACTTCAACATTTACCCATACATAGCAAGTACCATGTACAAATAGATATGTAAACATGTTGCATAACTAGTTTGCTTCAGTTTTACCAAACTGTTTCTTCCCCAGGTAACAGAGCTGTACAAGTGTTTTCATTTAGTATGATGACAGTATTGGTGTCTGATTATTGAAGTCACGTTCACAGTTATCATTATTATCATCATCATCGTCATCTTGTGATGAACTGGATAAGGTGACCTCATAAACTGAGAAATTATTCATCGGTGACATGGACAAATCACTTCTTGGATGACTCCGAGAGAAATAGTTGTCATTTTGAAATTCTGATCTCTGTTCTTCTTGTTTATACTGATTGCATGGATGATGGTTTAACTGTGAGTAGCATTGTTGACCGCTTGTCTTGGATTCTTCATGGGATATCAGGCAATCCTGATTGCCTTCTTCACTGTTATTGGTAACCGGTCGACTAATACTACCACTGCAATATTTACAAGTCTTACATTGATACTTATATTGACGATGATGGTTATTATGACAGCTTTGGCGATGTCGGCGACAGTGTGACTGCGTAGAATTCCCCTGACTATCGCATATATTCTGGTTACTACTAGTTACTGTTGTCACTCCTGTCACTGTCGTAGCTGCTGCAGTTGTATGACTTGTACTTCCTGAAGTAAAAAACACCTGGTTGTTATAACTACCACTGACAGTACTACCATTATTATAATCAATAATAATATTGTTCGTTTTCAGTAAATCTAGTCTCGATTCAGCATCTCTCAAGGTGTTCAATGACTTATCCACTTGTTTTGAAACTATATTTGTTGATGATTGTGTTAATAATAAAGTTGAACAGATTGTTTCACTGACTGCTTTACGACTACTCTTGATATATTTTACTTCAAGTGGTGTATGTTTACCGTTTTCGAAAACCTCTGCAATAGATGTAGCTTGAGGATTATTTGTTCTGTCTTTACTATTACATTTATGAATGTTTCGCTTATGTTTACACTTGCAGGAAGATGTGATAGACGACGAAACTGTCTTTTGTGAGTTAGTTGATGAATTCTGTGACAGATCTGAGTATATTTGGTTTTCAGGGTTACTAATATGCTTGTCTCGTGGAATGTGACTATGTCTGCAGTTGTGATGATGCTTGTGTTGACGGTGCTTATGATCGTTACCATGCGAATGTGAGAAATTAGGATTACAGGAGTGTTCACAACGATAAAGATGACCACATTGGCGGTGTTCCCTACGTTTATGGTGGTGATGATGACGACGACGGGTATTTTGGGCATGGTCACCACTGAAGTCACAATAATATTTCTGCTCTGGTTGCTGATCCAGTTCATGATACTGTTGTCTACTGGCAGTTCGAACACTGCCGTCCTCTACATCATTATCTTGTTGAGAAAGATGGAAAGTTTGCACAAAATTCTCACTCAAACAAGCCAATTCTTCATTTTGACTTTTCATCATTGGAGAACAACTACTATTACTTCCGCTACTACTTCTACCTCCTAAACATACTATTGATTCGTTACTTTTATTCAAGTTTGAATCAATATTATTAATCAATAAGTTGACTGAACACTTATCAGCTGATGTCATCTTTTTACATTCATCACCCATACCCGATACAGAATATGGTCTCATGTCTTTATATGAATGATAATCAGTTTCTTCATTGGAAGCATGTTTATCAAAATGTATCCGATTAGTCAACTCTGCTGGTTTCATATCACCTGAACAATAATTCTTTGGCTGTAAAACTATTTCATTATAGTACTCCATTAATGTATCACCACTATTCCAAACTGTTGTTCGATGGTGATCCCGACTGAACACACTTTCTGTCTGATTATCCATGATTTTCGACTGTTCTTTGGCATAATCAACGACTGGTCTGATAATATTTTGTTTTTGTCCATCAATAATTGTTATTTTAGCTTTTTTCTCATTAGACTTGTCTTTATCGGTAATATTTTTCACTTCGACACTACCACCAACACCACTAACACTGTCTGTTTTAAACAATTGTTCAATATTCCAATTGTTTGATAACAAATCAATATAATCTTGTTGTAAATTATCAATGCTATCACGTGCTTCAATGAATTCATGCTCTTCAATACCTTCACTAATAAACCAATGCAGAAAACATTTACGCTGATATAATTTATTAAAATTTGTTCTGTTTCTCTGAAATATTTCATATATACCAAGATTACTAGCCAGCATACACACGGATTTTGATGGGAATGATGTTGATGATGAATGCCAGTTTACTGTTGTCGCTGTCTTTATCGGTAGATAATTATTGATACCAATTTTAAAGTTTTTAGGACACCAATCAACAAACTGGATATTTTTATCCTGTTGTGTGTTTGTTTGAATTAATTTAATTGTATCATAAATTGGTTTTGAATTGCTTGTCCCGCGATACAACATGGCGCATGATATAAATGGATAATTAAAACAAGAATAGTCAATAGTCTTCGAGTTTGATTGAAACAGGGATTTAGTTAATTCGTATATATCAAAGTCTTTTTGATAATAATTGTAAGTTGATTGTGATGTATAAAAGAGTGATGGATAGTGTATTCTTGGATAAGGTATTAAATTTGTCAGTAGTTCAGTAACATCTGTGCGTAATACACCGTAATAAATGAATCTATGCGAAAGAAAGACTGAACTAATCATGTGAGCTAATAATTGATTAATTTCTGTAAAGCGCGGTTTTATTACATTTAAATTTTCTGTACATCTTTCATGTAAGGTGTAATTATCCAATAAAACACTACAATCCAACGTGTCCGTTGTGGAATGTGTATACAGCAGGGAATTATACGGATCCACAGTGGATTGTGAATATACTGAAGACGGAAATATTGCTGTATTGAATTTAAACATTTTAGAATATTCATCTTGGATATGATCTAGAATTAGACTGGTCATCCCGGATCCTGTACCACCGGAATGTGAATTGATCATACCGAAGGCTAGTAGGCTGTCTGTTTGTTCAAGTAATTTTCTAATCGCTTCACTGATATCATTCAGTTTATGCAGTCCAATTGTACGATTCCCACGACCGTAATTATTCGCTGCATCTTCTTTACCACTGATTAGACAATTGGGTCTCCAGAGTTGTCGATAAACTCCACAGCGTATTTCATCTAGTTAATAAATGTATACGTTTATTTTTCATATTGATAAATACTAATGGTTTTTAACTATTCCAAAATTTGGTTAAAATTTAAAAAATGGAAGCTTTCTAGCTGTTAAATTACAAACTGCTGAGTTAATATGACAGGCAATACGACTCAGTACACTCCAGGATATATGAATGTAATGCGCTTATAAGAACTATTGCCACTGCAGATTATAGCGTCGACCAATGGGTAAAAAAAGAACTGTTGATAATAGAGCATTTACTGTTTCAAACAACAGACGAGAACAGCTGACATAGATTTTGACTATCGATGTAGACTTTAAATGATCTAGAACAACACTAAATTGATTTTGAATAATCCTCATTGAAGGATGACTGAAAAAGGAAGCAAACGGTTCAGCAAAGAGGCTTTATTCATCTCCATAATGTGGTGCAATAATTGAACAGTTTGCTGACACCTGACTACAATATCTCAACAAGTTCCTAATATAGAGTATTCTACAAAATTAAAGCGATCTGCTAAAGGTAATACGCTTTTTCATCCCTTGTTATGCTGAAGCTCTAGTCATCGAGGTAGAGAAAACAGAGCCCTGTATGCAAAACAGAATTATTTTTCCACAACGGGAAACTTATCGAGGCGTTCAAAGGGAATACAGGAGTAAGACAAGGCTGGCTGTCAATTATCATCGATGATATTCTGAAGTGTGGTGGACTGGATTATGTGAAAGACTGTAGGCAGCAAGGAGACAGAAATACGCTGGACCACTGATAAGAAGACTCCAAAAGATCTGGATTTCACGTGTGGATGATTTATGTTTGATGTCACATAAACTCGAATACATACCGATGAGAATCAACACACTGGCTGAAGAGGCTGGCAACGAAGACAGAACTACAGGTGAACATAGAGAAGACAGAAGTGATGAAGATAACTGACGAACTGCATCATCACCAAGTAGCGCTGATCACCATCAATGGGAGAGATTTAACAGAGGTTACTTCCTTCACTTATCTAGGAAGCTTCGTTCCAATTACGGGCGGAATGGATGAGGATGACACAGGCAGCCAGAATTGGAAAGTTAAGATACTCCTTCGTCAACCTGAAACCAGTTAGAAAATCTTCTGTACTCAACCAGAATCAGATTCAGATTTTCAACACTAATGTCAAGTCGGTCCTTCTATACTGGTCAAAAATTTAGCCGGCGTATCACGGAAAGGATTTCCAACAGGCCGTTGCAGACTTTTATCAACAGGTGCCTTCGCTGGCTCCATACTGAAGATCTAATCACCAGCAAGAAAGAATTAGCAAGAAGAAATTTTACTAGGGAACAAACCAACCGACAAAGAGCCAACCAGTCAAAACATTTGCGAGAAAAAGTGGAGATGAATCGGGCATACATTGAGGTGGCAGTCGAATGACACCGCGCGCAACTCAAGCCATCACCCGAGTGGAATCCAAGCGGAAGGCAACGAGTGGGTCGTCAGTGAGAGGGTGACATGAAGGAGATTGTGTGAAGAGGAGGAGATAACAGATTATGGTCAGTCGTGGATGCAGCTGAAGAGGATGTCAGAAAATAGAAGAAAATGGAGATGTATTGTAGAAGCCTCATCTTCTCCTTGGAAACCAAGGGAATAATAATAATTCTATCATGGCCTGATGGGGTTCTTTGATTTAGGTGCGTCCTCTGAAAAAGGCGGTTTAATTGTGAAGCTTTTATTTTACTTCTATGCAGAATCATTAACACAAACTTCAATACGAAATGAGCTTATTTGGAATGTGCATGAATGATATATTTATCTCTTCTGACAACCAGCTGAAAAGACACAACCACTTAAGCTACAAATCTTCTGTAATATTTCAAAACCCTGTTGTTTCCAACCAATATAAATCTAATTGTGACTCCTTCTGAATCGCTGAAATCTTTGTTTTATGCCTTCCTAACTGTTGTGTTATATTCTGCTATGAAATTCACGTGAGACAAGGAATCCTGGATGGATTCGCATAGGAAAAGCACATAGGCAAAATAATATACACATTTTTATAGCTTCATTCCTCTCCAGTGCAAAATAAATTTAGTAAGGACCCTCAACCACAGGGTTAGACCTATATGCTCAGAAGACGTAACTGAAGATGAAATAAGAATTGTATATGATACCTTGATTGAAAATAGCTATCCAGACAAATTTATCAGGGAACATATAACCAAGAAAGTCGAAAAGGACTATTCACTATTTGTAAATAAGAAGCCTTTCTCCATACGACTTCAATTCAATGGCGATATACCTAGCGAAATAATTGCGAAGAAGTTAAGAAAGTCACTTCGAAGGACTTTTAATACTGGTTAACTACAAGTCATAATTTCTGTACTACCGGTGCTGATTCCCCAAATGAAAGATGAAGTACCTAAACTAGCCACCCCCAATTGTATCTACCAATTGAACTGAGCTTGTGGAGCGAGTTATATTGGCTATTACTTTAAAAACTTGATTTTTCGTGCTTGATTGGAAGCATCTATCAGTGCTGGTTAAACAAAGGTGTAGTAAGAAGCATCAATAGCTCGATATTATAACACCTGGTCCAAACTGGCCACAAAGTCAATATTGAAGAGTCCTTCTCTATCATCTATCGAGTTCCAAGCAAATTGTCAAAAAAAAAACCAGGCACCATATACTTCAGACAGCAGAGGTTATCGCTGTTCTCCTGAACCAGCCGGTGCTCTGTGTGAAGAAGAAGAAGAAGCAAGTCCAGCCACTACTACTGCCCTGGCCGACCCTCAGTAGAGACTATAAATTCATGAATTTGTAATATTATCTTTCCAAATATTTCTGATATTCAGTGTGTATTGTCATGTTGATGCTATTGAACTGTGACCCATTAATATTATTATCATTATTGATTCGATGGTATTTAAACAACATTAATGTTGTTAACAACACTAATTCATTCACTATAATGTATATGTAACTGTAGAACCTGATGAAGAAGGGGTTATCGAAAAGAATATTCTTTGTTCAGTAACCATTCTTCTAAAAATTTTAATAGGCATTTTTACTATGTTATGTTATTTTTAATTCCTACGTCATGTCCCATTTCCAATGTTTATGTTTTGCATCCTGATTACAGCTCATTCGTTAGACTATCTACCTTTTTATGTAACTTTACCATTCTTATCCAACTTCCCTTATGTACTTATTGATAGTGGCAAGCATGCTTATAACAGTTCATCCCTTTTGTTACTATCCTCATTTGTTGAAAAAGCTGTACATAAATGCAGCTGTACAGATAAAGGGAACGAATTTTCCCGTGAAATAGTCTCTTCGTTGAACAATTCTTCTTTGTATGTTTGACCACGGATTGGTATCTACTGGGATTCGGACCTTATGGATTGACGGCAGTTACAAGTCATCGAGCATTTGATTTCAATCTACCGGCTGACTGGTTAAAGGCCAGCTGTGAGAGATGGCCATTGAGAATGGAAGACATGAAAAGATTAGCTGTCTTCGATCATAGGTACCTGCGTTCTATCTCCCGTGTGAAGTGGTATAATAAGGTGAGCAATACTGAGGTTAGGCCTCGGTCGAGTGCTAGGTAGGCGGGAGGGGAAATAAATCGACGAGGCTGCGAAATTACATCGACTGAGATGGTTAGGAAATGTGTTACGCATGTCTCACCTAGTCATCGCCTTCCTTGACGGGAAATGTTAGCTGACATAGGGTCAGGCTGGAAAAGAGCTAGTGGCCGTATAACCAAAACATGGTCTCACCGGTCAGTGAAATCTATAACAGTTAGTTGAAACCACACATGTAGGGAGGTGTAGACTTCCTGACTGGTTGAGGTCCTCAGGACGGTAAAAACCAATGGCTGGAAACAATTGGTGATATGGCTCAAAGTGATCGTTCTCAATGGCTGGCGCAGATGCATCCACTCCTTGTGACTTATGATTTCCAATGAAACTGTTTTGTTCTTCGTTATTACTATTCCATTTGTCTCACACCTTTGTTTACTGTCTCTATTATGCATTTTTCCTACTTTCTTCTCTTACTTTATGTGCTACAAGGAGGGAGTGTGGAGACTTGAACTGGTGTACATATGTGTAAAGTTCTATGTCGAAAACAGACAGCCACGTTTAGTCTACTCACCACCCGTCACCTACCTGAATGATATATCGGTATCTGTCCTCTAACACTCACTAATCTGAAGTGAGGCAAAGCAGCAGGACCTGATGCAATTGCACCTTGAACTACTGCACTTTTGTGCAAAGTCCCATGTTGAAAATTCGTCTCAGTTCAAAAGTGAATACATCTCAACAATTACTAGCAAAAGAAGAACTTACCAATGACAGTCGGTTCCAAGTCAATCATTAAAGCTCTTGGTGTATAGGAATACTTTCCTTCATAGAACAGACATTCAATATTATCCAGTTGATTGAATTCATTTTTCAGTTCATTGATAAGTTTACCACTTGCTGTTAAATTATGCTCATGACAGAATAATTCCCATAATGTAGAACCAATTTGTACACCAGCTTGACCAAAGTGTAATAATACTATTTCTCTACCCATTATTATTATTATTGTATTTACAAACGAGTATATCTACACCTAGAATGTAATCCAACCCTATCTATATAATAATATTACGACTACTGTATATCCACGCATAACTGATTCCTTCTCTCTTTTACCTTATTTATTGATTTCTAAATCAATCAAAAGATATTTAAATCATAGGTAGGTCACGAGACTTTTGAAGATATTAAGCTTTAACGGTAGAAATGTAAACACGTGATTCACTGAATAGAGAAAGACTGTTTCCGAGGATTTCAATAAGGCTCTTTCGCCTACCAAAAATATAATATCAAAGCGAACAGTCAAATGCTAGTGGTTCAAATATGATGCAAAGGATTGGTGCTAGTGAGTGTAATAACTAAAATATTTACAACAGGCGCGCGAAGTCGAGTAAGACATGTAGAATATCGTGTGAAAAGGACACGAAAGCTAATCGATGGTTATGGAGGCAGCCGAAAGAGACCGTAGAGTACTGAGTGCAATGACGATGTGCTGATCAAGACCTATGTTGCACTCAGGGCGAACCAATAAAAATAACTAATTTAACGGGAATTGCGTCAGTCACCGACATCAGATATGAAATGGAAAGCTGCCCCGTTCTACTTGAGGACTCTTCCAAAGTAGGCACTCATAAACCCACCGGAAACGAAAATTAGAACCTTCAGGTTACAAGAAAGTCATATCACCATTCAGACACTGGGGTAAAATCCAGTGGCTCATAATTTCTAATTTATGTCAGTTCACGATACAACATTAACGCTAATCAATGCCATAGGTGGCCATCTCCCCCCACATTTGGACTAAGTGGATTCCAGCGGTCACAAGTCTTCATTGAAACTTGACCCTACAGCCAATCACTAATAAGCGCTGGAGTAATTTTCAAACGTTTTCATAGTAGATTTTTTCATAAAAGGTCCTGGATCATTAATCCATATACCTGAAGTATCCAGGACTACAATGATAAAGCTTTCTAGATTTCCTCATTTTTCAGTGGTTCGCTAAATGATGTCATTTAAAATCACAATTACTTTCCTTCATTCATTTTGAGTAAAACATAGTGCTTCATTGGTATATCTCATTGACTGCTCCCACCTAAGCTTTCATCTTTCATTTTTTTTTATTTACAGCTTGATTCCATGCTGTATTTTTCGTACAAGTATGGAATTTTCAGCATGGATATCGGTAGCCCAAATTTCGCAGGCCGACCATAGATATCAGGTGTGCGTCGGCAGGGGATCGAACCTCGGACCATGTGCATGGTCGGCGAGAGCGCTAACCACTGTGCCACCGACGCCAAAACCTATAAGCGTTAATCAAAATATAGTGGAAATTTAAGAAAGTGGACTGTGGGCACAGACTGAAGCAGGTGGTTGTCTTAAAGGTTCCTTTCCACACCCAGACCTTGACTAGAAGTCTGACCCACAAGAAAGTGAAGCTGCATCAGGTGCTACGTCCCCATGATTCCCGGTGACCAGAACAGGTTCATACGCCATACAACCCGGTTAAATTGAGAAGCCTACGGTTTGGAGTCAGGATTTTCCAGCTCCCATCATGTCCACTTGTCCGGTTGTAAGCTCTACAATTCTGTGAGGATCCCCCCACCGCAATGTGTCGTTATCAAACAGTACTGCTTATGCGGCAAAGACTGTGAACATGTGGCCACGTGAACGCGTTTTGAGTGGAAGGCAGAAGTCTAAACCACACCTACACTCGGTCGTACCACGTCGTTTACACGAGCAGCCTGCATCTTTTCAGAATTAACAACCCAAAGTCACACGTTTCAGTAGTGGATCACAACTAGTATTACCTGCAATCCCCAGAGTTTAATAGTGCTCCCGTTGGGACTCGAACCCAAGGCCCATCATTTCAAACACTAAATTTTTATTCTTCTTCTTCTTATTATTATTATTGTCATAATTATTTATTAATGTATATTACTTCTTTACAACATGTATGTAGAAAAAAGAGGCTAAAATTTGTAGAAACCATAAAAGTAAAAATGCTCAATTCTCAAAAGATAACAGCAATAATGAGGTATGAATTACAAAACAAGCCTGGTGAAGTAAACACACATACAGACACAATTCGGAAAAGAGGAACTCATTATCCAGCAGTTTCGGGCAATATATCCGACAGTGTGGTCAAGCTCATGGAATAAATAAGCATTATTTTTTCACGAAAAAAAACCAAACAAGACAAGATAAGCAATAAAGGAAAGAACAGCAAAGATATATAAATATATATCCACCAATTCGACGGTGGAGTTCATCTCACTATTAATCGATACAACAAGACAGAAAAAGAAGAGGAAGGGAAAGTTGCCGATTCTTCTCTTTGAAAAAACCAACTGCCATGATGTGAAGACAACGACAGTTGTGCGTGTGTGTGTATCTGGTCTGATTAGTATAATTATCTCGGTGTATTCTTAACAGGTCTTCTTAGAGGAGAGTGTATATAAAATTCATTTTACTTCAAAAGAGGCGAAGAGTATATTACCAACAGAAACGAAGGTTATGCGAGCAATTATCAAAAATTAGACAGAAAGAATATATATATATATATATGTATATGCACACTTATATTACTTACAAGCGGTAGATAAGTATAATAAACGTAAAATAGAAAGGCAGAAAACGTGGGTAATAGAGAATGTAAGCCAGTAAATAAGAAAGTAGGATATATAGATTGAGTCGTCGTATACAGAAAGTTATTGTTCTGAATCTGCTTGATTGCCTTATGTTATACCATTTTAACAATTCAACAAAAGTTCATAATACTTTAAAAGAATAAAACATATAAACTGCTCATTGAATAAATAGGTACATATCAGCGCAACACGAGGTAAATGTACACACAGAAATAAAGGAGGCAGTTATAAAAGTGGCGATAAAGCAAAAGCAATCAATATGCATAGAAACAACAACAATGCTAAAAGAAGGAACAACCATTAGGATTGATCAATATTTATATTAAAACTGAAGCATATTAATAAATGATTAGTAAAAACAGTGGAGAAATGCAAAGAAATGGTACAAGCTACTAACAACAGAATTCAGTAGTATATAAACATATAACGTAAAAACTGGTGTTTAAGCACAATGTTTGGGGGAAAATATAAAAAAAAAAGAAGGGAAACCGGTTATTATTATTATTATCATTTCGAGCAGAAGAACGCTTAGATTTTTTATTTTTTACTTTTCAATTAATGAAAATCATCTATAATCATGCCTAAATCTTCGCGTACAATCCACATACCAGAGGCAGGAGTTTTCTCAGAAGATAAATTATCCTCGTTGAGACATTTTCGATTATTTAATGCATCTGATTCAATAGTGCTCTTATTATGTTCACTTGATTTAATCGGGCCGTTTTTATAGGATTGATTTTTCTCGTTAATAGGTTGAATAGTTTTATCAGTTGATCTTTGCTTATCAACATCGTCTTTCACAGGTGTAACATTTGAATCATTATTGTTATTGGGAAGATTAGCTAAGGAATGTGGAGTTGGTCGAACAGCTGATATTGGTTTCACAGGAACAGGCATTGCACTAGTTGTTGTATTTGCTGGATTGATTTTTCGACCTGTTTATAAAGACAAGAAAAGGGACAATAACGACAGACAGGATCATATAAACATGGGTAGGAGGGTATGAGAACAAACAGTAGGACTGAGGTGAAAACAAACAAAAACAACGAGACGAAACACAAAACAAAATTGATCACCTTGAAAGCTAAATACAAAGGACATTTATTCAAATCATTTAGCGTTTCTATTAACGGCTTTTTGATTGAATTGAGATGCTCAATCTCAGTTGACATTTCGGCTTTTCCTGGAAAGATGCTTCTTTGATGCATGAAGGTTAACTTGGTGTTAGTTGATTGATAGACGTTAACAGTGGGATCTAGAACGCAAGTCTTTTCCTACTTTGAGATTAATTTTTATTTTTTTTTATTTTATTTTTGATTACAGCTTGATTCCACACTGTATTTTTGGTACAAGTATGGAATTTTCAGCATGGATATCGGTAGCCCAAATTTTGCAGGCCGACCATAGATATCAGGTGAATGTACCTGCATCTCCAGTGAGGAATGGTGCCGCCCAATAAGGGTTGCAGTCAACACGGAGCTTCAAGAGTTGGTTTTTAGGGGGGGGGTATGACTTGTTTCCAGTTCGAGCACCAGCTGATATCAGTACGGTCTAACATATCAGGAGCGAGGAGGAATACTCGCCGATGACATTGGCTGGTGGTCGCGCTGAAATCACGAATTGGTAGAAGTCCTAGTGGCTGAATGGTCTTAAGTTGGCCTTACAACCGGAGGGCTCGAACCCCGGTGACAGATGAGTACTACTGAGAAGTCCCAAGCTAGGGAGACACAATTGTCCAGCGCTTTTTTCTGACTTTCAGTGGTTGTTCTCTAACTGATATCAATTCATGGTCAAACTTGAAACAAATCTCTTTTCAGTATAAACATTTTCTCTCGTATAACTTTCCAAAATTATAACTTAAACAAACCGGAGAGTGGATGGCATGAGGTAGCGAAAGCCGACTTTATTTACTTTGCACACACACACACACACAAACACATACACGAGACATTTTCGTGTATATAATATCAGGTTATTTTGAAATTTAATCCAAATTTCGAATTCTAAGGAGAGAAAAAAACGACATCTCAGCGAAAAACACATTACATGTTTAGTTAAACACAGATGTTTTGCTTAACTGAACTGATTACTAGACAGGAGGGGATGGGAAACAACAAGAGAAATTATTGTGAAACTTGTGTAACAAACATATGAAGCAGCATATGTTATATTACATAAGTATGCTAATATCTGGATATGGGCCAGAGACATTAGGCATTTATGGATCATATTTCTTAAAAAGTGTGAAATCTATAACCTATATATATATATATATATATATATATATATATATATATATATACCAATAGCTGATTGGCTGTCTGATTAGTGTCAACATCAAACTTTGCACAGATGTGCAGCGATTCCAGTTGCCACAATTCCTCTATGTAACATACAAAGCAAGAGAAAAGAGTAAAGGGAGGTTGAAAAGACAGATAATAAACAGAAGTGTGAACGAAAGAAAAAGAATAGTAGGTATAGAGGAAGAAAAATGAAGTTTTATTAGATATGATAAATCACAAAGAGTGTATGCCTCTGCACCACCTCACTGAGAACAATATTCAACTATATAACCGATTGTCTACAGCCATCCCAACAACTCCAACCAACTCACTACGTGGTTTAAATTTACTGTTGTGGACTTCATTGACTGATGAAGCCATGTTTTCGTTTTGACCACCACTAACTCTTTTCCAACCTGATTCTATATTAACAAAACATTGTCAGTCTAGGAAGGCGATGGCTAGGCATGCGTAATACATATCCTAGACATCTCAATCAAAGTACCTTCAAAACTACATAGATTGAATTTCTCACCTTATCTAACTAACACTCAACACCAAACCCCGAAATCAGTTACCCTGCTATAGCACCTAACATGGGAGATAGAACGCTGACACCTATGATTAAAGACAACTAACGTTTTCATGTCTTCCACTTCCAATGGCTATGTCTCATAGCCACAGAGAAGGACGGAGCGAAATGCTGAGCAGTACACACGTCTTTTCATCGATAGCTGGATATGATCCAGGTCGGCAAATGCCACTAAGGCTAAGTGTCATAGTAACATGAAGGTGAGGATATAAAATTAACCGTTAGGTGTTTTCATGCATAGTACAGAGCAAATACCATGCCAGGTATTCTATCTGTGTTAAACAAATCGATATAAAACACCATTTTTGCACGTCAGTGGTTCAACAACAGAATGTTCATCATGGTTGACCATGCGAATAGTAAAATTAAAAACGCCTTAAGATATGTGTTCTACTCGGGACGCAGAAGAACTAATACACATATATGTACAAACCACCTTTATAACATGAGCTGACACCATTCAGAGAACCATTGGAAGACCTACAAAGTGTACTGGACAGGTGTTTCGTCCTAGTTTAGGACTCTTTATCAGGACGCTCCCAAAGTTCGAACCAAGGACCTTCTGGTTACAAGGCGAGCTCGTAGACCATTGCCACTGGGACACAATCCGATAGCCAGCCTATGAATTCTAACTTCTGCCAAATCACAACATAGAACGATCACTTCGCAATGTTTTCCATGAGTTACTGTGTTCGGACCCCGGAATGCGTATAGATGAAGAGTCCCAAACTAGGACAAAAACAACTGTCCAGTACTCCCTGCAGGTTTTCCAATGGTTCTCTAACTGATGTCAGCTGATCATGAAATCCTCCAACCAATCAAACGAAATCCCTACAGACCAATACTTGAAAATCACATAAGATCAACTATTTCCAAAAATTGAGAACCGTAAGTGACTACCTCTCTTCCATCCATCCCAGTAGGTGGAAACTAAAGGCAGGTAAATTTGTTTTGGAGGTAGCTTACATAGTCACTCGATAAGAAAATAAACTGAAAACACAATTTTCTTAATATTCAAACAACTACAACAATATCATTAGCCAGAATTCGGGTAATTTGAAGCGATTTGCGTCCCTGAACCAATTTGAACTGGGAACAGCACTAATGCCCTCGACTCTGAACGAGTTAAACCACTATCAAGTGTTTCGATGGTTCCAATTACGGTAACTGGCTGATGTGAATGGCGGTATACAACTACTTATATCAATCAATCAGTAGCATAAAGCATAATATAGAAAAAAGCATTCGACAGGAAATGAAAACAATACAATAAGTAATTAGAAGTAATCATAGAAAGGAAGCTGTCTTCGAACCCGGTTACACGCTTGTTCACATTCATCCGTGAGGCAGTGCTCGGAAGCTTGGACTAATCATGATATCCGGTTATCGACCAAAGAATGTGTGTACTGCATAGCATTTGGCTTAGCCCTTGTTTACGGCAGTGAGACGTGGTCATTAACAGTGGAAGACATGAAGAGACTACCTATCTTTGATCAGAATTGCCTGTCTTCTATCTCCCATATTTGTCGGTATAATAAGGCGAGTAATATTTAGTTTAGGTGTCGAGTGTTAAGTAACAAAGGGAAAGTCAGTCGACAAGGTTGTGAAGGAGAGTCGACTGAGATGGCTAGGACACGTGGGTTACGCGTCCGAAGCAATCATCAAAACATGGTATCAAATCTATGAAATTTTCTGCTACTGGTCCAAACTGTATAAATGGGTGTAAACAGTCCGGTTCGGGTTGCTGAGATGTTAAGAACTAGTAGATCGAGACTGTGTTGGTGTAACAACAGAAGACAAGGGCAAGGTAACAGATCGTTTATTAAGAAAATCAACACGTATTTATATATTTTCATGTACATTATTATAGATTATTGAAGCAAACAAACACACTCTTCTGATTGGTTGTTTCTCACAGAAAGTTGACCTTGCATCTCTTTGTGACTGTTTCTTGAATGTCAGGTCACCTATATGTTAACTGTATCTGCCTACGCAGTCTCCTGTGATCGGTTGTTGAATTCGTCTTCTTCATATTTTCTCACGACCAATATTTGGGACAAACATTGACGTAAATTAATGCCTACCAATTAGCTAGCAGCCTGCTCTCATTACATTGGTGATAAGGATGAAAACTGTTCTCAATGCTTCAGACGTATTCACTCTTTCTCAGTCTACAACAGTTAGTCTAAGCCATGTAGGAGGGTGTAGACTTCCTGACTGGTTGAGGTCCTCGGGACGGTAAAAACCAATGGTTGGAAACAATTGGTGATATGGCTCAAAATCGTCCTCAATGACTGATGCAGATGCATCCACTCCTTGTGACTTATAATTTCCAATGAAACTGTTTTGTTCTTCGTTATTACTATTCCATTTGTCTCACACCTCTGTTTACTGTCTCTTTTATGCATTTGTTCTACTTTCTTCTTTTGCTTTGTGTGCTACAAGGAGGCAGTGTGGCGACTTGAACTGGTGCACATATGTGTTAAGTTCTATGTAGAAAACAGACTCTTTCTCAGCTCCCAGATCCAGTAAATCCTTGTTATTCTCACAGTAAACATTCTCCCTCCCTTTGTCGTATTTATTAATTCCTTTACCTTTATGTATGCTTTTATGGAGTATGGAAACTTGAACTACTGACGGACTTTATTGCCAAGTTTTATGCTGAAAATTCAGTCTGTCAGTCAACCCAACTACACAAATTTACAGAATAACAAAACTGGACGAAAAATTTTTTTAAAAAAGAGTAAGAAAAACCAACCTGTTAGTGACTTTCGTCCACCACGAATAGGCTTTGGAATTTCTGACGTAGTGGTTGTTGTTGTTGTGGTTGTCATAGTTGCGGTAATGGATGATCCAGGTAATTCTGTTGCCGATGGTATCCGACTGACCGACAACTTTGTGTCTCCACTTCCTCCAACAGTTGCTATAGAGTCATTCGATCCACGTAGGGAAGGTGTGCGTTTACCGCTAGTTGATGTCGCCGCTGAAGTAATACGTCCAGTGGAAGGATTTGAACGGGATGTTCCACTTAATGAACGATTACTAGTAGCAGTAGTAGCAGTTTTTGTTGTTGTTGCTGTGCTTTTGGCGTATAGGCCATTCGATGTATTCTTCAAAACTAATTTATTATTGACATTAGCATGTGTATTTATATTAGAAGAGGTAGTTGTCGTTGTCAGTGACGGTGTTATCGTTGTACTTTTAGAATGATAACGATGATTGGTTAATTTATCTTGTTTGACAAGTGCAGCGTAGACAGATTCAACAGACACTTGTTTTTGACTGTTTGCTTTATTCGTATTATTGGTATCATTAGAAGGATGATTTATAGATTTTAAATTTGATATTGAACTAGCAGCAGATACTGTCCGACTTGTAGCCAATGAACAATTTTGTACTGACGGTGGTTCTGTCATAGCTGTACGTCGGTGTTGATATTGTTTTTGTTGGTTGTGTTGTTGACTTTGCTGTTTTACACGTCTAGTGGAGGTCTTATTGCTAGTATTATTATTATTCGTTTGACTATTCGTCTTATATGTACTGGCCACTGCAGTTACAGGATGGATAACACTCTTTTTATACTTATACGTTGTATTTGTACTGCTAGTGGCGTTGATATTACTTACAGATGTTGTTGGCTGTAAAGAAAACAAAAAAGAGATACAATGGAAATTATCGATCAAGTCTGATATAGTTTAAGATAGTTATAATGCCTTTATTGTCAAAAGAATTTCAGATACAGTTTAGGATTCATAACATACAGTAGTCTTGTGGTGAGAGCTGTTAGCAAGTCAAAATTGTAGACAACAATTTACGTCAATGTTTACGTCATAAATCGAGGTCATGCGAAGAAATAAGAACAAAGCCTAACCTTGAGGGACTCAACAACCAATCACAGCAGACCTAGCGTGTGCAAATACAATTTGCAGATATATGGATAACCTTGTAAGCAACGATCAAAAGCAGTGCGGAATAAACCTCAACAAAAAAAACCAATCAGAAGATGCTGCTTCTCTGCTAACAATAACGGTAATAATAATGTACATAAAAATCTATAAATATCTCCTGATTTTCTCAATAACCGATCTGTCGCTCGCCCTTGTCTTCTATCGTTACAGTATAACATGGTATCTAGTGTTCTCTTCAATACTTTCCAGCACTAACCACTATAGACGGAAGAAATTTGAAATAAAGAAGTCACTTCAAGTATTGGTTTGTAGGGATTTGGTTGATTGGTTACAGGATTTCATCATGAGCTGACATTGGTTAGAGAACCACTGTCTGTCTGTCTGTTTTCGACATAGAACTGTGCACATACGTGTGTCAGTTCAAGTCGCCACATTCCCTCCTTGTAGCACACAAAGCAACAGAAGAAAGTAGAAAAAATGCATAATAGAGACAGTAAACACAGGTGTGAGACAAAGGAATAGTAGTAACGAAGAACATAACAGTTTCATTGGAAATCATAAGTCACATGGAACGGATGCATCTACGCCAGCCATTGAGAACGATTTCGAACAATATCACCAATTGTCTCCAGCCAGTGGTTTTTACCAACCAGTCTAGAGGTTTACACCTTCCTACGTGACTGGCTTAAACTAACTGTTGGAGATTTCATTGACTGGTGCCATGTTTTGACACGACCGCCGCTAGTTCATTTCCAGCCTGACCCCATATCAGCTAACATTGCCCGTCGTCGAGGAAGGCGATAACTAGGCGTGAATACGTAACACATGTCCTAACCATCTCAGTCTATGTAACTTCACAGCCTCGTCGACTGATTTCCCCTCCCGCCTACCTAGAACTCGACCCAAGCCTAACCTCAATATTGCTCACTTTATTATACCACTTCACACGGGAAATAGAACGCAGGCACCTATCATCAAAGACGGCTAATCTTTTCATGTCTTCCACTCTCAATGGCCAGGTCTCACAGCTGGCCATAAAGGAGGACGGAGCGGACTGGTGAGCAGTACACACGCACTTTGGTCGATAGTCGGATATCACGTCTACGCCAGAGACGGCGTAAACTGGCATATGCGAAACTAGCCCTCTGTATCCGTGCTGAGATTTCGTCAGAGATCAACCCGTCGGGGCTGGCGTATGGTACTCCCCAAATAAGTGAAGCTGTCAACCACTGGAAAACCTGGGAGCACTGGACAGCTGCTTCGTCTCAGTTTGGGAACATGGGCCATTCGATCAGATGCCAGTGGCTTGATGGTCTACGAGCTCGCCTTGTAACCAGAAGGTCCTGTGTTCGTACCTCCTGTGGGGGTGCGTACTGATCAAGAGTTCCAAACTAGGACGGAGGAGACAGTTGTCCAGTACTCCCAGGTTTTCCGATGGTTCTCTAACCGATGTCAGCTCATGAGGAAATCCTGTAACCAAAGATGTGACTTCTTGTATTTACCTCATCTAGGCTGGATCGTTTCAACTACATTTAGGCAGCACAGATTAGGATGTCAAAATGGTGAGCAAGTTCAAACCCTTAATACTCTGAAATCAATGTGGAAATCATCGGAACTTAGCATAAGGAATAACATCTGATTCTTCATCCGTAATGTAAAGTCAGTCAGTGATTCCATTTGGTTCAGAAACTTAATGCACGCACCGTATAAAGCATGTTCAACAAGCAATTGCAGACTTTCATCGACAAGTACCTTCTATCTATGCTGAAGTTCAGATGACTAGGAAGGATTGGAAACAGAAAAATCTGAAAAAAACCAACAAACCTGTGGCTCAATATACATTTCCCAGGGAAATGGAGATGCATTGGGCAAAACGTGAAGAGATCATCGAATGCGTCGGTGGCACAGCGGTTATGACTCTCGTCCATCATGCACATGGTCTGGGGTTCGACCCCGTGCCGACGCACACTTGATACCTATGGTCGACCTGCAAAATTTGAGCAACCCATATCACATGCTGGAAATTCCATACCTGAACCAAAAATAAGGTGTGGAATCAAGCGGTAATCAAAACAAGAATGATATCACGTAACGGGCACTCGAGTGAAACCCGAATAGAAAGTGATGAGTTTGGTGTGTGTGTGTGTGTGTGTGAGTGTGCGTCTGAGGATGAAATGGAGGAGATCGTGTGGGAAGGAAATCAAAGCTCATGGATGATTGTGGAAACAACTTAGAAGGACTGGAGAGAATGGGTCGGGATGGGGATTAGCTGTGGAAGCCCTGTATTCAACTCGGAACCTCAGAATAGAAAGAGTTCAATCGATTAATGTTCCACAGTAAGCCAGTAATTTCCCAATTAACAGTTTTTTTCTTCACATAAAATATGTGCCTATAAAAGTGTTGCCCAGTTTCAATATTTAGTCACGAGAGAACAAAGTCGTTTATAACTGCTTCCATTGACTGACTTCCGAAGGTATCAACTAACGCTTGACTTTAACGTCGTAAGAAAAATATTCATTATAAGTTCACTTCTGCTGCAACCTAGAAACATATTTCTTTTGATTGTATCGTGAGCCATGACATGACGTGCTTAATTTCGACATTGACAAACCACGGTTTTCAAAGGCATCTTAATCCACCATGTAACAGAAATCGTCAATACAGGAGGTTGGTGGGAAAGGTTGATTAAAAGAAGTGTACTTTGACTGAGGGAACATATGCGACACTAAAGTTACAGAAGTGTCTAGCAGATGTAGACGTGTCTCCTACTAGAAGGTGTGTTAGGGGAATAAATAGTAGTATTTATAATTTACAGGAAATCCGGTCAAGATGTCAAACAAACTGTTCCGGCTAAAATGGATGTTGAGAGTAACAATTGGATTATTTGTTTTAGTATCTTTGAGCAACAGTAAATGAAGTCTTTGACAGCTGTTTTGAGCCACGTAGGAGAGAGTAGACAGTTTGGTTTGGAGGGGGGAGGGAGGAGGTCGAGATGGTGCTAAGAACCAATGTCTTGACACTATTGGTAATATGGCTTAAAATTGTTCTCAATGGCTGAGATGCATTCGCTCTTTGCGATAACCCATATCCATTAAACCTTCATGGTTTTTCATGTTACTGTTCTTTCTTCCTCACATTTCTACTCCTTATGGCGCTTTCGTTTATTTCCCTTCTGTCTTTCTTCCACCTTTGTGTGGAACATGGAATTTAGCAACTTGAACTGATACACTTCTGTGAAAAGTTCTATGTTGAAACTTAATCAATATCGCTAAGGCTTTTAAACATGTTTTTCAATGTTGTAACGATTTCTCTGTTAACAGGGGGTTTAGTTTATGCGTTGTTCTTGTATGTTCTACTGATCAATTCTAGTCCGTTTTACCGCCCCCACCCCACCCCCTGTAAATTTACGGCCTTTCTGTTGACTCATGTATTTTGCCCGTAATAATCCCAGACAACTGACGATTTGAAGTTTTTAATTTACTATTAAATCCTGTTACTAATTAACACGGTACGATATATTAGCCGAATCTTCTGTTCCTCACTTCACGTTCCCCTTAACTGTTCGATTTATACAGTTCAGAAATTAATTTATAGTTTTCTTGCATGATTCCCCAATGGTCTCTTCAACTCGATTCTGTGTTGTAAAAAAGTGTAGAGTGAAAAATTCACAAACCAAAGAGGAGCAAAAATTGATGACAAACTGAATTCGAACTCAGAGGCTGAAGGGTGAAACATCCTCATCTCGTAAACTCAATGTCTTGAGGGTTAGATATCTCTAGTAGGGTAATGTGTGCGTACCACTGAAGTGTCTCAAAATAGGATGAAACAGCTGTATCAAATGCTCCTTAACAGATGTTGCATTCTGTTATGATATATTGCACCAATATGTACTCCCCACCCCACACCCTCAAGACAGTTCCATGCATAATCGAGTCTACGACAGACAAGTCAACCTATATAATTTAACAACTCTGTTTTTAGAATGGAAACAGAATGTTCCACAATCAAAACATCTAAATAAGTGAGAATTTCATTCAAATTTAAACATTAACACTGACGTTATCACATATCCCATTGTATGTTGAAGTATGATTGATCGTTTGACATTTTTCGTTTTTGTTTTTTAAATGACACCCACCCGATCCTCTAAAGTAAAAAGCGAAATCTTTTCATTTCACAGAACTTTTGTCATCATAGCCTGTCAACCAGACAGACAGAGTCATATACATACATACATACACACACACACACACACAGACAGACAAATCGATAAAGTTTGCAGTATTGTCACGACAATAAAAATTTTTGTTTACAGCATTTGCAGAACAAAAGGCATTCTCCACTTCTGTTTATCGGTTAACTGACACCATTCAGTCAACGATTATTTTCGATTATTTATATAAAACAAAATAATGCTGATAAGCAGAATAAAGAAATGAGTCACTGATGTTTGTAAGAATGAATAATATTTATAAAACTTTGGAAATTTAATCGATCAAGCTCTTTTCATCTTGATAACTATGAGAAATAGCCGTTGAAAGTGTAAGATATGCAAAGGGCTACAAGTCTGACCACAAATAATGTTTGAGCTCCATCGCTGGTGTTAAGCGATATGACATTAGTCACTAATACAAAGGCTAGGCGCATAGAGTGTTTTATTTAGGTAAGGAGTGAAGGCTAATCGGTGAAGTTGTCAAGCTACATCGATTAAGATAGTTACGACAGGTATT